TCAATCTCTCTACACTTGTCTCCTATTTATAAAAAAAATTCTACATTAAATAGATTTCACTAGCATGTTAATTTTTTTTTCCCAAGACGTTATCTGGTTATGAAACAATACTGGAATCTGAGACTAGGTTTTTGAGCTGTGGGAATTAAATCTCATTAAGCCACTTTGGTGACTTCTTTAGCGAGCTACTGTGCCATAGTAGGGAGTTGCACTGCTGACCCAAAGGCAATTATCTCATGCAGCTTTCTGGAATAAAGATGGCAATCTCTTCCTGTGCAATTTACAGCCTTCCAAATTATAACGGAGAGTATACTCTGAGTCAGTTCCAACACAATGGCAGTGAGTGTGTGGCTACATGTTCTTAAGCTTTTAATTCTTTATTTATTCTCTTTGTGAAATAGGAATATATAATGACTGGGTGAACTAGAAAACGCCTGAGCATCACTTACTGCATATTTTTAAACTGTCTACATAATTTAAACTCTAGAAATAAATTTCCAGGTTAGTGAAGCTATGACTTCTTTTTTTAAATCTTGCAATGGTTTTTTTAGATCCATCTTCTTACTAATATTCCTAACAATGACTGTAGACAGAAAAAAAGAATAATTCTGTCTAGAGATTGTTATGTATTTACAGCTGTGAAATGGAATATTTATTACCATTAATCAAGTGTTTAGATGAAAATATTTCAAATGAAAACATAAAAACAAAAAAAACCCAAAACAAAACCCTAGTCAAACCTCAACAACTATGAAGTGACAATTAACCAAAGGGCAAATAATATGAAGCATTTGGCTGTACAGAAGTCATGCCAGGAGACTTGTTAAAAGCAAGCTGCTGTTGTTAGGTGCTGTTAAGACTCACAGAGACCCTATGAACAAAAGAACTGAACCCTGCTCTATCCTGCATCATCCTCACACTTCCTAATATGAAAGAACCCATTACAGCAGTCACCTTGTCAATTCACCTGGTTGAGGGTCTTCCTCTCCTTTGATGACCTTCCACCCTTTCCAACATCATGTTCCTCTACTAGGATAGCCCCTAACAGCAACATGCCCAAAGTATATGAGGCAAAGCATCATAATCATCCTTTCCAAAGAATATTTGTTTGTTCTTCTGGCAGTCTATGGAATAATCAGTTCTCTTCTCTAACACAATTCAAAGACATCAATTATTCTTCTCTCATCCTTATTCACTGTTCAGCTCTCAGACACATAATAAGGAATCTGAAAGACCACGGCCTGAATCAGACTCATCTTAGTCCTGAAAATGACATCATTCCTTATTAATAATTTGGAGAGGTCCCTAACTGGAGACTTTTCAAGTGTATTATGTCTCCTTATTTCCTGCCTGCTGGTACCAAGAATCCAAATAATATGAAGTTGTTGACAGTTTCAATCCTTTCTCTACTCATCCTGACGTATCAGTCCAGTGGTAAGAATCTTTGTTCTGTGACAATGAAATGCAATCTATATTGAAAGCGGCATTCCTTGATCTTCTGCAACAAGTTCTTCAAGTCTTCCTCAGAGTCATCTGCATAACAAAGGCTACTGATGAGTTTCTCCCACCAATCCTGAGGATACTCCTCCTCAAGTCCAGCTTCTCAATTTGCTCAGCATACAGAATTTATAGGTATGGGGAGAATACAACCCTGACATACACCCAGCTCAATATTAAACCATGCAGTGTTCCCTCCATTTTGTCCTAGCAACTGCATCTTCTTTGTTCAGGTATAGGTTTCACACGAGCACAATTAAGTGCTCTGGGACTCCCATTTTTCTCAATGTCAGCCATAAAGCTTGCATAGACATTCTTCTGGTACTCTTTACTTTTAGCCAGGATCCATCTGACATTGGCAATATCCCTGGTGCCATTGCCTCTTCTAAAGTTCTGCTTGAACTTCTGGGAAACTATACGGTGGTCTAGCCAGTTTTGAATAATCTTCAGCAATATTTTGCTTGCGTATGATATTAATGATATTTTTCAATAGTTCCCACACTCACTTGGATAATCTTTCTTGGGAACTGGATCCTCCATCCATTGGCCAGACAGCTATTCTCCAAATTTCCTGGCATAGACTGGTGAGTGCTTCCAAAGCAAGTTTATCAAACAACTTTTGCCAGGTCAACTTTCTACAGACATACAACTTACTGACAGCAATTAGAATAAATGCCTGTGTAATCCTTCCCTTCATGAGATTTTTCTATTACCATTAATTCACTTTTTTGCTAACCTCCCAACCATAAAAACCACTAATAAACAAACTTTATTCTCTATTAATTGCTCTCCTTTTTATAAGATCCTGAGATTAACTAGTAAAATAATATATGCCTTGAACTGAGCATTATGCTTTTTTACTATCTAATATGGGATCAACGCCACTACTGTCACACTCTTAAACTAACAAGCCAAGGAAAAAAAACCAACCTGTTGCTACTAAACAGGCTGGGTTTATAATGATTCCCCCTCCCACTAGGTTTGAGGCTGTCACTTTTTAGGAGAAGACTGCCCAATGAGTTGACATACTCTGAACTATGCCCTCAGGGCTTTTTAAAATGACAACATGAACTCAAAACAAAAAGCAATGGATGGACAGTTTGTGTCAATTGTGTGGTGGGTGAAGGAGAATGGACACTACTTAGAAAGAAGGTTGCAGTGTCATGGAATTGTACATGTAGAAAGAGCTGCAGTTGTGCTAAGTTTTTCTGGGTATATTCTCAATAAAGGTAAATAAGCTGGCAATAGATAAAGTTGACTAGAAAAAGTTAAAATTCACAATAAAAAGAAACAACACTATGATTTGAGCATTAGAACAGAGCTTAAAAATCTCTAGTTTTATTTTTAACAAACACCACTTGATGCTTGACTCACAGGCTTTATTTACATTTGTCTACAGCATCATTTCCTTACGAAATGAACTAGTACAGTTTAGTTACCAAAAGAACCATAATCATCTGAATTATCTGTAAATTACTATTAGCTAAATTTATAACCTTGAATTTGCTAATACAGCCAAAGTTTTAAATACAGAAAGCACAAGAATATACCATGTAGAAAGTAGATCATCTGATCTGGGCAATTTGGAAGGTAGACTTTCAAGAAGTCTGAGGCACAATTACAAGAGAGTAAAAGTTCCTGTGCAACCTACAGTAATGTAGCAAAAAAATAAGGCATAAAAAAACCTGGGGAAGTTCATTGTAAAAATACTATTAAAATAGTTCTACATAAGATATTATGTAGATCAGTTGAGAAAAACACTCATTTTAAAATAAAAGACAAATAGAATTTTGTTTGGTCTATCTACTAGATATCCTAAAATGTTTTCATTTTTTATTTAAACTGAAACAGGCATTAGTGTTAAGGGGTAAAAAATAAGAAAAATAAATCAATATTCTATGTAAAAAAAATTTCCCAAGCAGATTGTTAACCTCCTTTATTATACTTACCTTGCACTGTCACTGAAGGTACTGTCAAGAGAAGTCTTTTTATTTTCAAACCAGAAGACAAAAATGAAGTTCAAATGACCAGATTTTAATTTTGAGAAATAAGACAAACTTTAAAAGCATTTTAAGCCATAAGTAACTATAAGTGAATGATAACAATAATGATTTAGGTTTGCATCATGTAAAAATAAGCACTCATTTTTATTTCAGAAAATTTTATGCAGCGGTGTTTTATGTTAAATATCTTAAAGCAAAGACTCATTTAAATACACAATGTTTCCTTAGTGACCTTTCACTCAAGAGAAAAAAAAAATCGTACTTCTACTTAGCTTTTACTCATTAAAAATTCTTACTTAGGATTGTTCATCCCATCACATGTGGCAACTAGATTTCTGATGGATACCATATAAAGTGGTTTAAAATCCTAAGTATTTCAAAATCATAAACCCTTATAGGGAATTTCAAAATAAGATATTTATGGTCAGTTGTTTCACAATTTAGCTAATTTAGACATTAAGTTAACATAAAAAAGTTCTTTTCTCAACCTCTTTCCAATTAGTCTACCCCATCTTTGCCTCTACATCCATAGTTCAGGCAAGCCTATGAATTCTACTTAGTCAATACATTTAAAATGTTTGGAAACAAAATAGCTCCAATTAGGAAACAAAGTATTTTTGTTTAGCTGAGATGGTTTTGAAGAAATCAAATTTTTTTTAATTTAACAATGCTAAAGACAGCATCTATTCTGGGACATTATGGCTTAAAATGCTATTATTTTTAACTTTACAAATAAACATAGCTGTATTGTTTGAAAAGCAATGAAAGGCATGCACCTCTACTAGCAGATTTAGCACTTCTGACCAAGTTAAGACATCAACTTCTTAAAAAATATGCTTCATGCATGGTATTGATTTCTTTCTTTTTTTTTAAACAAGGTAAATTTTAGTACATTATTTCTTTTTTGAACTGGAACGGGAACCAGAATGAGATGATCCAGAAGATGACCTGTGGTGCCTGCAAGACATAATGAACAAAGTATGCAAAGTAGTAAGATGGAGCATGACTCCAATATTTATTTTGTAAGACTTCAAGAATATAAAAAACAAACACCTGGATGCTGGCAAAAAGAATACTTAAAAACTTAGACAAACTTGGAAACATAAAATTATCTGGTCTTTATTTAGATTTTAGATGTGAGCCCAGTTATAGTTATATAGCATAATTTAAAATTCTATAATATAAAAATATATTCTCATTAAAAAATATAGCCACCTCTCAATTATTTAAGGTAATGAAGGAGAAAGCCTTGCAAAAATTCATAAAATTATAGTGTACAAGGGAATATAAATTTGGTAACTGAGATGTGATTTAGCCAATCTCTAATACACTGTATAAAGTGTGCTACGTCTGTATATAAAATACAGCAAGGCTTCTGACTGTGTATGAGTATATATTCATAATTAACTAAAACGTGAAAATCTAGATCACACAAGATGACTGTACAATTATTTACAGGGTTATTATTCATGCAGCTAATATGAATAAGTCAATATAAACCTGCATAAAGTAGTGGTGTTCCGTAGGGTTTGGCCCTGGGCTCAGGGTTGTTTAGTGTTCTCACCAATCACCTGGCTTATGGAATAGAGAACATGTTCATTAAGTTTAGATGACAACAAACTGGGGGACACGGGGAGATTATATGTGGCTAAGATAAAAATCTGCACAAGTGTTATGAAAGCAACAGAACGACGTTCACTCCAGTACAGAGCAATTTTCTTACAAGGAAAACAAACACACAAAACCAATAGTAGCTGTGTGTATTTTAAAATCTAAATTTCAAAATTATTTTAATGAAGAACAAAACTGTTTTAAGCAGGGATCATTAGATAATACTGCCACTAAAGCCAGAAAAAAAACACTCCCAAAATCAAACTTTATCTAGTCCTTATTTTCCCTTACTAAATGGAAATGAAAAATTTGCCAAAATGGCATACAAAGTCATTAAAATTACTGTATCATTAAACACTGAGAACCATGAGATGTTAATGAAATTTTATGCTCAATTAGCAGATTACAACTGCACTCTTCGTATTTTAAAAATGTCAGTGCATAAAATGTCAAAGTTTTTATATGTAGAAACTATATGTGTACTGCAAGATGAAAATGTTATAAGCTAGAAGAAACAATTATTTTCTGGATAAAGAGCTTGAGACAATAATGCTGTGGGAAATAGGTCTGCACAAATCTAAAAGGTTCCCAATAATGTTGAATAAGGTTTATTAGATACATTTAAAATTCCTGATTTCTAATTATTTTTAAAAATTACAGAAGAAATTTAGACATAAAAATCTACTTTGAAGCAACATCTAAATTGCTTCACTATGCAGCGTCTTAATTTTTAAAAAAAGCAAAAATAACCGAGAGTTGGCTATAGAGATTATATATGAAAACAAAGATAAAATTATCATATAGTTTGGATGAGAGTAGTCTGATTTACAATTTTTCTTAAATAACCTGATCAAAGAACAGGATAAACATAGCAATGTCTGTTTTTTGAAGTATTCAAAGCTCAAAGTACCTTTTTACAGTTGGAACAAAGAAAATGATAAAATCTAACCCTTCACTAGAAAGTTTCTACTAAACACACTTAAGAACACCCATTCTTATTTCTACAGAAACCCAAACCTTTCAGGTGACCGTGATCTTGTTCGTCTTTTTTTGCGATCACCAGATGAAGATCTAGAACGACTTCTCTTTCTGTTCCTCTCAGGAGAAGATGACGAACTTGAATAAGATCTTTTTCGTGGGGAAGAAGAGCCCCTTTGGGACCTGGAGCTGGATCTTCATTAATTGAGAAACAAATCAAACATTTCATTAAATGAAGAAATAAAGAAGCCTGCTTTGTTTAACAGTAGCTCCAAAAGTATTAAAATGGGATATATAACATCTATGAAAGTTTTATATAGAGTACTTACTGCTTATTCAACAGAAGACTTCTGGTTCAATCATGAAACATTCTACTTAATTATTTTCATTTTACCTTATAAAAATTTTAATTTTTCCATGTGCAAGCAAAAATCAGCTTTAAATGTATTAAAATAAAATTGTAATCATTTTTAAAATGAAGAACTTTACGTTTAGAAAATCCATTCTCCCACTTTGGGTAAAAAATATCTCTTACATAAACCTTCTTGAAGAAAATAAATATAATTCCATGTAAAATTATATAAATCATTACTTAAATTACTACTGTTTAAAGAAGGAACAAGAGAAAAAATAAACTGGACTAAACTATTACACAAAGGAAAAAACCAGCAACTTCAAAATTTTATAATACTTATTTTTTTATGAAGGATCACTATCCACGAAATATGAAGTGTTGACATTCACATGTTTTAGAAAGAAATAAATAGTGCAAATGCAAATTTTTTCTTCTTCAATTATAAATTTTAGTTGAAGGAATTTAGCTCAAACTTCCCAAAAAATTCACCTTTGGGCTTAAAACAAAATCAGAAAGCCCAAAAGGAGAATTCTTTGGAAAGTTATAAGCAATAAGAAAGTTTTTAGAAAGAGTATGAAGACTCTTCTGTAAACCAAAATTACAGTGCTTCCCAAAGGAAAACTACAATTTAAGGATCTTCATCTAAGAAGCACTAAAATAAACTGATTAAAACACTGGTAATATATCAATAACCTTATAAGCCATTTAAAAAAAACACAAAACAACAAAACCCTACTAGCTTACTACAAGGATGAATAGCACTCCTTTCTCCTAATGTTCATTTTAACACTATAGATTTAGTAAGTCTGTTACAGAAGGAATTGTGTGCCTCTCCAAAATATGTGCTGTGAAATCAAACCTCTAACGTGGTTTCAATTTCATTTGGGATTCTTTTTTATGTTAATTGGATAGGATTAAGAGTATTCTTAAAAATGAATCTCATTTAAGATATAAAACAGATTAAAACAAACTGAAAAGCAAAGATGGAAAGAACACATGAACATTTCTCAGCAGAAGCCAATGGACAGACCTTGCCCTATAGTTTACAGACAAAAAGCTAGAACTGGCTCCTTTGATCTCCTGTGACAAAATAATTTGTTAAAGCTATCCGCTTGTATTTTTCCATTATAGTAGCACTAAACAGAATTTTGTACAAGTGGGAGTGTTAACAAATAGAGTGTCAATGCAACATTGAACTAGGTAGAGGTTAGAAGTTTCAACAGGCTAAATAGTAGAAGCCTATACTGAATTGAAGAGACTGTTAAAAGAATTACAGATATCAAAGGCAATTCTGGCGAGGGTTCAAAAGGAAGTGGAGAGAGCTAACACTTTGTGTCTCAGAAAAAAAATGGCTAGAACAACAGAATATTGGCAGGGATATGAACTTTAATAGTATTCTGGTGATGTTTTAAAAGAAATTAATAAACATGCAATTGAGTAAGGAATGACGATGATTTTGCTGCAGTGTCTGAATTATGTTTAAATGTTTGGTGGAAGATAAAGTTTTTAAGTGATGAATTTGGGTACCTGGCTGAAGAGATTTCTAAGCAAGCTGTTAAAGGGTCACGTGGCTGCTTATATTTAAATGTAAGGGGAAACAGAGACTTAAAATTGAGCTGTGTAAAATCAAGACATAAAAAGATTTGGAAAATTCCACTGTACCAAGTAGAGACTCCTAGAAATTTCACCATGTAGGACACCACAAATAATAATAATTATTATTATCATTATTGAAACCAAGCCAATTTTTTTTTTAAGACTAGACTTAGACATAGTAGCAAACACATCAGCCAATACTGAAGGGGACAGAGAAAGTATGAAAGAAAAAATGCTGCCTATCTGCTTTTTTGAATTCTACAGGTTGGAAATAGCCAAAGAAGAGATGTTTCTTGTCATCTAAGAATCACAATATCCCTCAAATAGGTGGGTCTCAAAGGATAGGAGTCCAGGGTTTCTCAGGCATGGAAGGACAGAGCTCCCAGATTTCAAATTTCCAAGTCAGAACTTCACCAATTGGGTTTTTTGCATACGAAGCTACCATTTCCATTTAGCCCAGAGAATTGCTATTAAAATTGAGGCAGTGTGATTGTTATGCCCAAGAGCCATAAGATTAAGATTATGGTCAGCTGGAGCTGAAGAGCCAGAGTTCATTTGCACATAAACCAAGCAAAAAGCTAGTGCCAGCCAAAGTCAAAGATTTTCTAGCCAGAATTTAAGGCTCATTCAAAAGTGTGGACAGCTAAACCACTGCCTAGATAGTCTTTTAAAAAAAGAGGATTAAAAAAAAAATAAATAAAATAAAAAAAGAGGATTATTTTCAAGTTTTGAGGGCTGAAGTGAATGGTTCTGTTGACTTGCTGACCAGCTTGGGAACTTTCTCTTCAATCTCTTTTAGGCTTCCTTGTACTGGTTCCACTATTAACTTTGCAAACAGTTAACTTGTAACCTAGATTTCACACATGAAGAGGAATTTTGACAAGGATGGAATACAACTCAAGTCTCACTCATATCTGATTCAGATGTTTGAGAAGATAAGATTTTGAAACTGGAGTGGATTTAAGACTTTTGGAATGTGATGGGGTAAATGTGTTTTTCCTTTGCCAAGGATAAAAATTTTGGGGGAGGGGTAGAATGCTATGGACAGAATTGTGTCTACTCAAAACATGTAAATCTTAACTTCTGTGGCAGTAGTTACAGGGATTTTTTTGAAATTAAGTTATTTTTGTTATCTTAATGACAGGATCAGTGTAGGATATGTCTTTAAATCATTATCTTTAGAGATTAGCATCAGGATTGGAGAAAGGCTCATCAACAATCTACTTGAGCATGACTCAATCCTGCTGACCAAAACTGAGGACCTGAAGTGCCTGCTACAGAGGATCAAGGATTACAACCTTCAATACAGATTATGTCCAAACATCAAGGAAACAAAAATCCTCATCATGGGACCAACAGGGAACATCATAGCACATAGAGAAGACTTAAATTGTCAGTTATCACAGTCAACACCCTTGAAATCAGCACTCAGGGAGACATGCAACGTTGGGAAAGCTATCAGGGCACTCTATAAAATCCTGAGACACATTGTCAGTTTTAAAGACTAAAGTAAAAAAAAAAAAACAAAAAAAGACTAAAGTTTGCCTAATTCAAGCCAGTGTTTCCAATCACATGCTATGTATGCAATGAGAGATAGATAAGGATGACAGAAGAATCAATGCATTTGAGTTGTCATATTGGATAAAACGGAATTTCCAAACAGCTGTGTCCCAGAAAGAGCAACAAGAATGTTCCTTGGAAGCAAAGCAAGTACTGTCTCACATGCTTTGGACACATTATTAGAAGCTAGTCCTTGGAAAGGGACATCATGCTTGGAAAAGTGGAAGGGAAGACCCTCGGCAAGATGGACAGATACAGTGTCCGTAGCACTGGACTCAAATGTGGCAAGGATGGTGCAGGATAGGACAGAGTTCAAGATCTGTTACTCATAGGGTCTCTATTAGTCATACTCAATTTGATGGCACTTAACAACCTTAGAGATGTAAGACATTAATCAAGCATGCTCAAGAAGCAGAGATGGAGAAGCCACATGATTGTCCAAGAACAAAAACTCTAAATGATAATGACATCTCCTTTGAATACAGATAGGTCTTCCTGTATATACAGCACACTTTATTCAGACTTCTGGCCTCCTAAATTGAGAATACTGTTAAAGCAATCCACTTGTAGTAATTTTGTTATACTAAATAACTGGACAGTCAGTAAAAAATATTTTTACCAAAACACTGATAAATTTCAGTGTGAATGTCCACAAGTGGAATAAATGTCTTTAGCAGGTCATCAATATATTAACTTAAAAACAAAGTCATTATTTTTTTTAAGCCTAGAAATATAAAACCAGTGTTCAATTTTCTTTACAAATTATACTTGTCTTTATGGGTCTGACTAAAGTGTGCTAAAAGCACAATAGTTGATCATTTATCTGGTATCCAAAAGGGTATTTTGAACTGGGAGTCTGCTCCTCGGTAGAAAAGGCCAGGCCATCTAATATCATAGATTACAGCCTACAGAGCAGTTCTACTCTGTCAGAGTCTGAATTAGCTTACTACAACTGTAGTTGTTAGGCATTAAGTTCTGACTCGTTAATCAGATCTGACTTTGACAAGCACTGTGGCAATTGGACAATTAAAACAGACATTCGGATGGCGGGGAAGAACAACAAATTGGGGAGGAGGGTAGAGAAAATGGTGCAGTAATGAAGGAATGAAAACCCAAAATCCCTGTAAATGTTCATTAAAACTAATAAAATTTAATAAAAAAAAAAAAAAAGTTCTGACTTGTAACCCAGTGACAGAATCAATCCATCTCATCGAGGATCTTCCTCTCCTGCACTGTAAACCTTATGTACAAGGCAAATAAAACACTACCTGGTTTTGTGCCACAGATCTGACTAAATGTAAATGGAAAGCTGACAATAATGCTACTTAAGACAATTTCCTACACTAGAAAAACTCTCATTATTTGATTCAGGTTGTGGAATTAGATAGGGATATCGGTTTTCCCTATAATGCTCATAACATTCTATGAAAACTAAAAAAGAGAAAATGTGTAGAGTTACCCCAGAAGTTTTACTGCTATAAATGCCAAAATTGTTTATATTATATGTATTGAAATAACTGCCCTACAAAATAAAATTTACTTTAAGGCAGTGTTTTACTTCCATTGAACAGATTTTATATTTGCATATCTAATTTTATTTCAATTACTTTTACAAACATAACACTTATATAGTTGGAGTTGGCTCCATCTTCTTATTTTATCACATCTTAAAGCAAAATAACAAACCTTGCATAATCCAAAATAGTCACCATAATTCAATCATGGGAATGTCTTGGAACACTGACTGCTTGGCAATGGAAACATATCATGGTGAGAAAATTAAGCCGAGGCAAGTGAAAACTGACAAGTAGAAGCAAAATAAGGAGGTAGGGGAAAGCAGCAACACCTTTTGCAGCCTTTAAATACTTTTTCTCTCTGCTTTGCAGAGATGCTACCTCATTCACCTTGATTTCGACCCACGAGATCTCGAATGTTCTCTGGAACTGGAACGAGATCTTGACTGCGAACTGGAAGAACTTCTTGAACGGGACCTGGAACAACATGGAAGGATTTTTTTTTTCCCCCAAGACCACTTAACTGAACTTTGTGATACGAACTCTGAAAGAAAGATGTGCATTAGAGCTCACTTTCAAGTTAAAAAAAAAATACTATATATATATATATATATTCTCAAGCATTCAAATATTTCCTTTTCAATATGTAAGACAGGCCAAGGTGATTTAAAAAGGAATCAATGATCACTTTCTATGCTGGAATTTCACTGAATATTACTGAACACTGAAAAAAAAAAGTGCTTACCTTTACCACCTTAGAAGAATGTGGAATGTTTTCTATTCACAATTAATAATTTTAAGTCACTCTTGTCTAATATATCCAGAAAAGTAGAAATGTTAAAATTTAAATTCTCTGAAAATTATCTCTAGAAACCCCTTCTGCATCCTTGTTTCTAGCTAGCATCAAACTTATGATAATGATATATGTATTTGACCACTATGATTTTCTTCCTTCAAATCTTAAAGAATTAATGGAGAAAAACATTAAAATCCCAAGACTGTTTTAGATAATTATTTTTAAGAATATAAGCAAAGAACATTTGGTTCACGCAGTCTTTAAAAAAAAATACCCCAAATTATGAAATAAAATACTTTAACCTAATCACTTTTAATGTGTTCCTTAAAATAATTACATATTTACATTAAAAATAGTTCCTTGAAGAAAAAGTTTTATTTTAAAGCTAACAATTTATAAATATTCAATAATTATCTCTAGGAATTCAGTTTATGTTTCATTACTAAAAGTCATTAAAATTCATTTCCCATTAGTAGGGCTTATTCCAATATTTACTGTTTATTTCAGACATTGCTTTGCCTGTTTTACTTTGCTGACTATAAAGTAAAAAGCTTTCATTATTAAAAACTTTTCAAAACTTAAGAATATTCAAGTACAATACCAATTTAAATCTTAGATTTATCCCTGAACATTACAACACTTATTAGTTAATAGAACTAAGAGGGCTGAATTTGCTCTTTGAGAATACGGACATGAAAGTAAATTAAGAACATTTAAAAATAAACAATTTCACTAATGCTTCAAAAATCTCTATTACTAGCTTTTATGAAAAGTGAACACACAAAATCGTCACTTTATTTACTTAACAAGTACCAAATTAAGACTTTGGAAAGAATAGTATTATTCCATGTAATAGTTTAACTGAACTTTTGTAGTCTATTTTATAAAAGACTTGGTGCTAAAATGGACTAAAGAAATTTCTTATTAAAATTTCCATGTCTGAAAATACTGGACAGTAACATCATGGTACTAAATGAAAAAATTAACTCCTAAAAGGTGACTTGAATGAAATCTTTAACATAAAAAGGACAACTTATTCAGTCAAGAAAAAAATTGATAAAGAAGTTAGATACTGACATTTTGACAGTTGTTACCCTTGACCTGTACCCGTTTACCTGGACCTAGACCTTGAACTTGAGGGGGAGGATGAGCGTGATGAAGATCGTGAATGTGAAGATCGAGACTTTGAGCGACTTCGTCTACTGGATTTCTTTTTATTACTATCTTCTTCTTCACTGGCATCAAGATTATATTTTGAGAGATCAGCATCATCTTCATCCTCATCCTAACAATAAATAAAAATATTTAAATAATTACAGATTATATTAATGGTCAAGAACAGTTCTACAAGGAGAAACCACCAATGCATCTACTGTCAATATTTTGTAATCCATGATAGAAATAAAAGAGTATGATTTATTAGCCTATATTTGAATAAATTTACAAATAGGAAAATGATAAAGGGGAAAGAAATCCATTCCAATTCTCCTTAAAAATCCATTTCCATTAGTCTTAGTTGGGATTTTAGGACTTTCAGTTTTAATCTTATATTATAATGACCACTTATTTTGTCTCTGCAACTCTGGAAATCTACTTTGCCTCTCTAATGTCATCTTAGGTATTGCTTAGGCATTAATTCTTATAGACATATTGCATTGGAAAAGTCATCTGTCAGGAACCTCTCCAAAGTACTGAGAAGCAATGATGTTAGTTTGAAGACTTAAGAACATGTGATTCAGGCCATGGTCCTTTTAATAACTTGTTATGCATTTGAGAGCTGGATAGTAAGTAAGAATGACTGATGCTTTTGAGCTGTCGTATTGGAGAACAGTACTGAATGGACTCCAAAAACCCAAACTGGTGTTATCTTGGAGAAAGCACAGGCAGAGTGCTCCTTAGAGGCAAGGATGGCAAAGCTTCACCTCACATACTTTGGGCATGTTACTTCCTAGAAGGGGCTATTCCTTAGAAAAGGACATCACATTAGGAAAGGTGAAAAGTCAACAAAAAAGAGCACAACTTAACAAGATGGACTGACACAGTTACCACGTCTATGAGTTCAAGTATGTCAGCAATGATGATAACTGGGCGGTCTAGGACAAGATTCAAATACGACGTTGTACTTGACTCATGGCTACTTAACAATCTCATCTTAATACACTGTGTCAGGTAATACATTATCTTAAAACATTAAGTTAAAATGCAACACCTTTTAACTTAAAAATTTTTCTAATCATCAATATAGATTCATTTAGTTACATGTTAGCTAGATTACACTTAACAGACACATAGTTCCCTTACCATGAATATACATTTATCATAAATTCTAAAGCATGCTCCCAAAGAACTAAGACCTACTAAAGTGGCTATTGTCTCCCTTTGCTTTCATATTAAATTCCACCTGATTTCTTAAATATTAATGGAAAATTCTCTACTTCCTATTTCTGTCCATACTGATTTCAATTAATTGGTTGCAACATTACATGTGAAAACATAACTGTACTCCACAGGCTTTGTTCAACAGCCAATTTTTTCCAAAATGGATATTTAGCACTTTCTTCTAGATCACCTCCAGATGGACTAAAACCTCCAAACTTTGTTATTAGCTGAAACTGTATTACCACTCAGGAATTCTGTTATCTAGTTATTCCACTAAAATCACATAACTTTTGAAATTACGGTATACATATGTCTTCGGGATATTTATTGCTAAGAAGCCATCTTGTTAATTTCTTTCTCCACTCTTAAGCTCCATTAAGAGAAAGGACATTTTGTCTTGGCCACTATTCTAAGAATCAAAAGTGTTTGGCAAAGAACTCTGGCACTTTTATGAGAATATTGTTACTAGGTGTCATCAAGTCAAGCAAGATTTTTTTTTATATTTTATTAATTATAATTAACATTTACAGAGATACTGGATTTCCATTTATTCATTGTTGCACTTTTCTTCCTGCCCACTCCTCTCCTCCCCCAGTTCACTCTTCTCTTTAAAAAGTAAAATTCCTTCACTGGTTTACAATCTTCCCCCCAACCTCGCCCCAAGTACACACCATTATGCAACCTTCATTCTGTACTCTTGTGACAACCCTAATACCCTATGAGGTATATTCCCAGTAGTGGAATTGCTGGGTCGAATGGTATCTCTAGTTGCAACTTTTTGAGAAAGCACCACACTGCCTTCCACAGTGGTTGCACCATTTTAACACTTCCACCAACAGTGAATAAGGGTTCCAGTTTCTCCACAACCTTGCCAGCATTTGTTACTTGCTGTTCTGTTAAATTTTGCTGTTCTCACTGGGATGAGATGTTATCTCATAGTTGTTTTGATTTGCATCTCTCTTAGAGCTAGAGATTTTGAACATTTCTTCATGTGCTTGTTAGCCATCTGAATGTATTCTTTGGTGAAGTGTCTGTTCATATCCTGTGCCCATTTTTCTATTGGATTATTTATCTTTATCTTGTTGTGGTGCTCAAGTATTTTATAAATTCTAGATATAAGTTTGTTATTTGACATGTCATTACCAAGTATTTTTTCCCAGTTTGTGGCTTCCCTTTTTACCCTGTTGGAGAAATTTTTGGATGTGCATAGGGATTTGATTCTTAGAAGGTCCCATTCATCTATTTTATCTTCTCCTGGTTGTAGATTTTTCAGGATACTTGGAAGACTGTTTATGTTGTGGATTAGGACTACGAGACTTCTTCCAAGCTTCTCTTTAATGAAGTTTACAGTCCTAAGTTTTAGTCCTAGATCCATGATCCACCTTGAGTTGGTTTTTGTATATGGAGTGAGGTGTGGATCTTGCTTGAGTCTTTTGCAGTTATTTTTCCAATTCTGCTAACACTATTTGTTTAAAAGGCTGTCGTTTTCCCACTTACTGATTTCATCACCTTGACCAAAATCAGCTGACCATAAGTAGATGAGCTGATTTCCGGGTGCTCAATTCTATTCCATTGATCTATGTGTCTGTCACTGTACCAGTGCCATGCTGTCTTAACCACCACAGCAGTGTAATAGGATCAAGTCAAGTAAAATTAAAGTACCCCTATGAACACTTTTCTATCCTGTGCCATCCTCTTCATTTCTGACATACTTGAGTGCATTGCCACAGTCACTGTCATTCCATCTTTTAAGGTCTTCCTGAGAATGAATGTAAATACCTTCACAAAGGATCAAAGACAGTAAATAACATTTAAATGCTGCATTGTAATTAAAGTAAAACAAAGAGAACTGTTTACCTCATCTAATTTATATTTAGAAAGATCTTCATCCTCATCCTCTTCTTCTCCCTCTGATTCCTTATCTTCAACTTCCTTTAAAATAGATGCAGGACCAACTGCTTTCCCTCTGTATTTTTTCTTTTTACGTCCAAACTAAGAAACAAAATTTTCGTAACATTAATGTACCACTTAAACTTGCAAATTAAGACTCAAATTGTACTTACAAAAATAAAAAGCATTAAAAATTTTTCTTTGCATTAAGATAATGTCTGTTGCTTTCCTAATTTGTAAATAAGGAACACTCTCAAAGCTTACCTCATCATATTCACCATCTGATTCTTCTCTTTCTATGTACTCAACATTTTCTCTTTCATTAAAACCACCACCATATCCTAAAAAAAAAAAGTGATTCTATGATAGTTATTTAAACAACAAAAGCATTATGTCCAACTCAACTCCAAGCAAGGGAAGAAAATCTTCTAATGATAGCTGCCTAGACATCTAGTAAGTTACTGGTATTTAAAAGAGCACATTAAAAAAATTCACTGTAGAAAAACTTATTAGCACTGGAGAAATTCTGGTTTGATGCTTGACTGATAACCTCAAGGTCTAAAAGTACTCTAAGATAAAGATGAGATAGTATGCTTGTGTAAAAATATAGACTTAGAAGCCCTGTGGCTTCAAATATTTAATGTGAGTCAGGATTGATGACTGTAGTTGTTTGAGTTTTCTTTATTTTGTATATGCATTTAAAAATCACTGATGTTCTCTGAATAGTCTGCAAATGTCTAAGTTAAAGAATATCCTATAAAAAGTAATTAAGATTAAGTAATTATTCTTTCACATCACATCTACAATCTAACACTGGATCCAAAGAGAAACTGGAATAAAGTTAAGAATACTCTATAAAAAGTAATCAAGATTAAGTCATTATTATTTCATGTCACACAACCTACAGTCTAACACGGGATCCAAAGAGAAATTGGAATAAAGGTAAGATAAGAGAGATCTTGAAACATTATCCCACTGAATAAATGTAAGTGTGAGGTTAATATAGTAAATGCCAGCAGTACCAGAATAAGACAAATGATTTATGGCCAGCAAAATATTAAGTGAATGGTGTACATAAATTCTCTTAGTGTCTGTGAATAGCTAATTAAAAGCTATATATGTTGTTGTTGTTGTTGCTATGTGCCGTCAAGTCACTTGCGACTCATAGCGACCCTATGTACAACAGCTTTAAACTCTGCTCTGTCCTGTGCCAATCTCGTTGTCTCCGACACACTCATCCCGATTGCCCAAGTCACCTCCACCCTTCCAAGCATGTCCTTCTCCCCTTACAACATGACCAAAGTATGTCACACGAAGCCTCAGAATCCTTGCCCCGAAGGAGCAGCCAGGTTTAACCCTCTCCAGGATAAATCTGTTTGTTTTCTTAGCGTTCGTTCCATGGCACACTCAGCCGACTTCTCCAACACCAAAGCTCAAAAGCATCAATTCTCCTTCTGTCCTCCTTGGTCATTGTCCAGCTCTCTGACACGTAACAAGTGATTGCAAAGACCATGGCCTGTACCAGCCGCACCTTAGTCTCCAGAGACACACCGTTGCTCTTGAGTACTTTAGAGAGGTCTCTAACAGCAGACTTTCACATCGCAATACGTCTTTTAATATCCTGGCTGCTGGTGCCCAGAATGTTGACTGTGGAGCCAAGCAGACTAAAGCTGTGAACAATCTCAATCTCAATCTCTTCACCATCCATCCTGATGCTGCCAAATGATCCAGTGGTGAGAATCTTTTGTCTTCTTGGCATTGAGCCTCAATACATATTGAAGGCTGCAGTCCTTGACCCTCTGAAGCAAGCGCTTCAGGTCCTCCTCAGTTTCAGCAAGCAGGGTTGTGTCATTTGCATAACGCAGATTGTTGATAGATCTTTCACCAATCCTGATGCCGCACTTCTCCTCATAGAGCCCAGCCTCCCAGATGATCTGTTCTGCAAACAGGTTGAAAAGGTATGGAGACAGGACACAACCCTGGCGTATGCTCTTCCCAATTTTGAACCAGGCAGTGTTTCCTTGCTCTGTTCTGACAACTGCCTCTTGGTCCAAGTGTAAGTTTCGCCTTAGCATGATCAAGTGTTCTGGGATTCCCATTCTTCTCATAGTCATCCCCAGTTTGTTATGGTCCACACAGTCAAACGCCTTTGCATAATCAATGAAACACAGATACACATTCCTCTGGTATTCGCTGCTTTCAGCTAAGATCCATCTGACATCAGCTACAATATCCCTAGTACTACGACCCCTTCTAAACCCAGCCTGGACTTCTGGCAGTTTTTGGATAATCTTCAGCAGAATCTTGCCTGCATGTGAAATCAACAATATTGTTCTATAGTTTCCAAACTCTGTTGGGTCACCTTTCTTTGGAATGGGAACAAATATAGATAAAAGATTTTTTTGTCTCAGAAGACTATGTAAGGTGATAAAGAAAGGTCAGTTAAGCATCATCATCATAGGATGACTGAATGAAGGTTGTGACAACAAATGGGGTGGAGAGAGAGGATGTATATAACAAGTACCTCAAAGAACTAAGATACCATCCTCATCACTTCCTAAAAATTAGATTAAGTGGGCTGGGACTTGAGATCTGAAAAACTATCTAGAGCCCACTAAGCCATAACAGTGTCACAAGGTTAGTTTTTTTTTTTTTTTTAAAAGGAGCAATAAAAGTAGAATTATCAGCTAAGTTCCCGGGATCACAAAAATCAAACAGAGACAGTACAGATAGTTAACATGAAAGAATTAAGGTTTCCGGCGCTGGCTGAAAATCGCCTGTGACTTCATCCATAGCCACTGGTGAGAGTCAGCGTCCAGAGCCATCAGGGGCTTTAAGCTCGTTGCCCACTGCTGTGGTGTGGACAGCTGAAACCCAGGCCCCGACAGGCACTTGGGGGTGGGGGGGAACACCCAGACTCTACTTCATGCTCTGCTGGAGAAGGAGGGGCAGTCTCCTGTACCA